TTCCCCTCAAGCATGTATACACACACACGCACACACACACGCTTGCACACACATATGCAAGTGCACTCGGCAAACGCCATGCCCACCCCCAGCTACCATATCCCCACGCTCCTTCCTTCCACTTCTCCCAGTGCCCAATTCCGTGCCTCCCAGTTACTCACAGTCTGGTTTCTGTCTCCACAACTCCTTGAAAATGGCTAAAACTGGGGCACCTGGGTGGCTGAGTCATTAAGTGTCTGCCTTTGGCTCAGGTCATGATCGCGCAGGGTCCTGGGATCGAGCCCCACATTGGGCTCCCTGCTCCGCGGGAAGCCTGCTTCTCCCTCTGCCACTCCCCCTGCTTCTGTTCCCTCTCTCGCTGTGTCTCTCTCCGTCAAATAAATAAAATCTTAAAAAAAAAAAAAAAAAGAAAGAAAAGGCTAAAACTAGTCTGGCAAAGATAAGCCCTTAACTTCTGGGCCGCGAAGCCCAACAGACACTTTTGGGCTCTCACCTTGGGTAATGCATTTGGGGCTCCAGCCCTCCCTCCTCCCTGCCCTGGGCGCCACCATCTGTTTCTGCACTCTCTGCCCCAGCCATCCCGAAAACCCTACTGTTGCCTGTGCCTTTGTGCCCGGGGGGCCTCCTCCCTCCGCAGAACCCTTCTCTATCTGCTCTTGTCTTCCACTCTCCTGCAAGGCGTAGCCCAGAGAGGAGCCCCCTGCACTTGCCCAGCGTTCTGTGCTGGTCCTCCCTGTATGGCAATGGACATTCCTGTCGCCCCACTCCTCGGGAGCACAGACGTCCTCCCTCCCTCCCTTCCTTCCCTGGTTTTATGTTAATCACCCTGTGCTCATCAGGACTAGTGCCCTCCTTAAGCCCCATCACCCATTTCACCTACCTCCTCCCCCCTCCTTCTGGTAACCACCAGTTTGTTCTCTATAGTTAAGAATCTGTTTCTTGGTTTCTCTCTCTCTCTCTCTCTCTCTTTTCAGGAACTGTCTTTTAAATCCACTTTTTTGTCTTCATTTTACTGGGCAGTGTTTGGCCACTCCCACTTTCATGAAGCTCTTTTTTTTCCCTCTAGGCCTCATGACACCACATTCTCCTGGTTTACCTCCCACTTCACTGGCTATTCCTTCCTAATCTCTTGGGTAACTGCTTCATCTCTGCTTAACCTTAAAATGTTGGAGACTCCAAACTTCACCCTCAACCTGGTTCTGTACTCTACCTACACACTGTCCCTAGGTGATCTCCCCCATTGTGTTAAATTCCATCTACATGCTGCTGGCTCCCAGATTTGTCTGAGTCTGACCTCTCCGTTGGGCTTCCGATGTGTATATCCAGTTGTCTACTCCTCCACATGGATGTTTAATAAGTATCTCAAACTTAATGTGGTCAAAATAGAACTCTTGATTTATAGTTCCAAATCTGTTCTCCTGGACTGTTCTTTATTTCAGTATACGGCACAATCAATAATCACCCCATTGCTTGGTCCAAAAACCTAGGAGTAGTGTGACCACCTGTCCTGGTTTGCCTGGGACTTGTCCTTGTTTTAACCCTGAAAACCCTATTCCAGGAAACTCCTCAGTCTCAGGAAAGCCAAGATGGTTGGCCATCTCACCTAGGAGTCACCCAAGATTTCCTCCATTTCCTCACATTCTACATCTAATCGACTGGATCTCCATCCAGATATACCCTCTTTCCTCCTCCACTGCTACCTGGTCCAAGCCTCCATCATGTTCCTCCTAGACCATCCAATACCCTCTTCATCTGGTCTCCCTCCTTCCTTACTTGGCCCACTCATTTTTCACACACTAGCCAGAGGATCTTTACAAAGAGAAAATGATTATAGTACCACACACCTACCAGTTCAAACACTCCAATTACACTTAGAATAAACCCAAATTTCCTTCCTCTGTAAGCTCTACATGATCTGGCCCTTGCTTGCCATCCACTATCATCTCCTAGTTCACTCCCCCTTCTTCCCATCCCTCCCTTCCCCCCATCACCTCATGACTCACTCCCTCCTACCATTCAGGTATGAGGTCAAAGTTACCCTCATGACTATGTCCAGAGTCATTCCCCAAGTTTCTCCCTATCAGATCTTTCTCTTCCATTATCTTCAAGGCTTATATCACCACCTGATGCTATCTTGTTCCATTTTTTTGTTTGTGTATATCAACTCCCCCATCTAAGACGTAAGCTTGAGAGTAGAGACTCTGCCAGTTTTGTTCACATCTGTGTTCTCAGCTCTTGGCTCAGCACACAGTAAGTACTCAGCAAATCTTTGCTGAATAAAAGAATATTCAGCCATAGTACAGGGTCTCTCACTTTGCTCATAAAGGATACTGAATGAACAAATTAATGAGAGTCAACCAAGCTCTGGCTAGGCACTGGGCCCACTTTCATAAGTAAGTTATGATTTTTTAGGAGTTTATGGTTTACTGAGAGACAGATACATAAATCAAGCTTTTAAACTAAGTAGTCATAACAGTTATGCGTATGCTGGGGAGTAAGAAATGTCATAACCTTTTCTTTTCCTTTTATTTTTTTTTAACTAAGTTTTATACCCAACGTGGGGCTTGAACTAATGACCCTCAGATCAAGAATTGCGTGAGATCTGAGATCAAGAGTTGCATGCTCAACTGACTGAGCCAAACAGATACCCCATAATCTTTTATTTTCTTAAATAAAATGTGATTTGCTCCGGGTCTTCATCCCACTAGGGTGGCAGAAAATTTTATCTCAATCACTACTGAGGCACTCCCCCAACCTCTAGAGTCATAAGGAGCTTCCAGGAGTCTAAAAGATCTAGGAAGGACCCTTTAATCTTCTGTCCACTCTGGCCACCTCCCATAATGCTCCTGGCTCAAGCCGTCACCGTTCCTTGAAGAATCAGCTGATTCTTGGCCAAGCTTGGACTTGGGGGAAAGTTTGGATAGGGTGGTTGAGTGGGGGTTTCGTGGGAACAAAACGCTGATTCAAGCCACTCATAAGACCTCTCGAAACCCCCATGCTCTTTTCTGCTCAAGGAAATCGTTCCAAACCTGCTTTTGGTCTATGAATTCTGTCTCTCTTTACCTAAGCCCTTCCTCTCTTTCCTTCCTTCACTGGAACTACCCTACAAGATCTCCCTGAGATGGCTCACCTGGCTGCTTCCTGCAGATGGAGAAGATGCTAAAAATGGTCAGTTATCCATGTAAAGCAGAGTTCTTACATCTCCGCCCCCCAACATACTCCTCTTTCAGAGTTCCCTAGCTCAGTTAATAACATCACCCTCCTCTGTCACCAAAGACAGTAAAGCTGACATGTCATTACTTCAGACCTACACTTGTACAAGAACATTTTGCTTGACCCATTCTCGTTTCTCCTCAGTTCAATCCATCCACCAAATGACCTGAGAGGTAATCCAAAAGAACTAGTTTGACCATGTCACTGCTTTGCTGGCTTGTCTCATGTAGAATGAAATGGACCAAATTTTAGCATGACCTTCAAAGTGCTCTATCTATCATTTAGGGTAAAAACTTCCTCCTCCACTACATTTCTCCATCCCAAACAGCCCATACCCTGCTTGACTTGCCTATTAGCCATTCCCCCAACATGCATTCTATATTCTTCCATTTTTACATTTTCCCTAAAGCCATTTTTCGTACTTGAAATGTCCTTTGCCTCCCTATCCTTTAACTGCTCCCTTTCCCCAACACTTACCCAATTAAGAGTACTCTTTTTTCCAAACTCCAACCCTATTTCCATCTCATCTATGAAGATTTCCTGAAAGGAGTGAAGCAGGGACTCTGGAGCCAGGTTGGCTGTAACTGTCCGTTCTCTGTCATTCTTCCTAGCTATGTAATCTGGGTTAGGTTAAGATGCTTCGGGTTCTTCTTCTGTAAATTGGGAGATACATAAAATAGATCACATAATTCAGGGCAGAAAGGAAATGGACTACAAATCGGGAATTAATGAGCTAGGACACAAAACACAGCAAAATAATAGAGAAAAATCAATGAAACCAAAAGATGGTTCTTTGTAAAGATCAATAAAACTGATAAACCTCCAGTCAGACTGATAGGAAAAAAAAAAAAGAGAGAGAGAGAGAAGACATAAAATACAAACACTAGGAATGAAAGAAAAGGAATCACCAATCCTACTGGCAAGACAAGGGTGTTTGCTGTCATCATTTCTATTCAATAATGTACTAAACATCCAAGCCAGTACAGTAATGCAAGAAAAAAGAAATAAAGGGATACAGATTGGAAAGAGAGGCAAACTTTTTATTTATTCTAAGATATAATTATCAATGTATAAAATCTTAAGGTCAGAGGATACAGGATCAATATACAAAAATAAATTGTATTTCCATATATTAAATGCTGCCAAGAATTGGACACTGAATTAAAAAAAAGTACAATCTACAACAGCATCAACAAAAGAAATATTTAGGGATAAAGGTAACAAAATACGTACAAGACCAGTATTTTGAAAAATACACAACACTGCTGAGAAAAATTTCAAAAGATCCAAATAAATGGAGGGGTATACTATGTTTATGGATCAAATGCAAATTGCAAATTTATACCAAGTAAGGTTACCACTATAAAACCAGTAGAATAGCAAAACTTCTAAAGACTTAGAATATCAAGTGGTAGGAAGGACGTGGGGCCATTGGTACAGCCACTGTGGAAAACTGGAAGTGGTTTCCTTATAAAGTTAAACATATACTTACCATATGATCCAGCAATCTCACTCCTACATTTATCCAGAAAGGAATGAAATGTGTGTCCACAGAAACACTTGTATGCAAATGTTCACAGCAGCTTTAGTCATGATAGCCACAAACTGTAAACAAACCAACCAACTGTCCACCTAAGAGTGAATGAATGAATAAATTGTGGTGTAATCGTACAATGTGATACTACCCAGCAGTTTAAAGGGTAGATGACTGATATACCCAACACCAGAAATGAATTTCAAAAGTATGACACTAGATTAAACAAGCCAGACACGAAAGGGTACATAACTGTATGTAAAATGCCATTTTTATAAAACTCTAGAAAAGGTAAAATAGTGACAAAAAGCAGATCATCAGCTGCCAAAAGCTGCAGGTTGGTTGAATACAAGAGTATGAGGGAGGGGCGCCTGGCTGGCTCGTCGGTAGAGCACATGCGGTTCTTGATCTCGGTGTCTTGAGTTCAAGCCCCACGTTGCATGTAGACCTTAAAAAAAAAGAGAGAGCAGGAGGGAACTTTTTTGGGGTAATGGAAATGCTCTATATTTACCCAATGAGGAAGTGCCTTTCATGACACTGATCAAGTTCCCATGCACCTCATGCTGTCACTTGAAAGATTTGTAATGAAGATATGACATCAACTGATTTAAAACCATAGTTTTAAAGTCATCACTAGTAATACTAGCTTCTCAAAAACATCTCAAGTAGTATAAATAAGCATAACGTATACATTGAAAATAGAATTTTCCACACATTTAATTGCTTTTTTGAAACACACGAATCAATACATTACTTAATTGTGTGTGTTGGCCGGGAGCCTATCCACTGGGAGAAGGCGGCTATGGAAATTGTCACTTGAGTTAAAACAAAGTATATTGTGCACCTAAGACATTCTGGTTACTGTGCTGAGGACCCTTCCAGCAAAGAGGTGGACAGTCTGTAGGAAGAAATGGAAGCGCAAACAGCTACAACTCAGTGTGACATGAACAGTGAGAGAAAGGGCGACAGGGGGCTGTAACACTGAGAACAACGTAATGAACTCCGTGAGGATACACAGATGAAGTCATCATCAGGGAAGCCTTTGGGGGGGAGATGAAACCTGATCAAGGAAGGTAAATATTCCCAATGGACCCTGAAGGGGGTCTACGCCAAATGGGAGGCAGAAGAAGGGACACCTGCTAAACATAACTTGTCATCCCCCCTGAAATGACCTGGGAAATTAACTGCAAGAACATGCACCTGCTTCAGCCCTTTGACTTCCCAGCAAGACTTCTCTTCTGTAAGTCAATATTCCTCTAAAAAACTGCCATCTCTTAGGCAGTCCTGGGCCACACCCCCCAGGCCAGTCAAGCTGTGACTCACAGCAGGTTGTCTTGGGGAAGGTCGTCGGAAGTCAACAAAACAAAAAAACTCCTCTGTAAATTCCTGAAGGTAGAAACCACACCCCAAAACCCCAAAAAACAAAACATCTCCTCCGCTTGCTACTCAGTCAAATCCAGCAGAAACACAAGGCAGGAAGAGCACCACTGTAATACAGCTGAAAGGTGGCCCAGCCACTGCAGGCAGAGAAAACCGTATGCAAACACACACCGGCCTTCCATTCTGCACACCGGAAGTGTGTGTGCTGGGGGCAGCGCCTCGGGGCCAATACCAACTTACCAAAGAACAGTCCTGGTACCACCTGGTCTTGGCTGCTAGCTCTAAGAGGGAAACAGAGAACAGCATGAGACCCCGGCCCAGCAGTTCTTTAGGCTCTTTTCCTCCTTCCAAGCCTGTCCCATGTACAACTCCATAATCAGACATAGTGACTCTCCATACCTCGAGCAACGTGGCACCCTCTCTCTCCGCTCCCTGAGAAGGACTGCCCTGGTTCACAGGAATGCAATAGGAAGCAGAATGCTGAGCAGATAGTTAAGGGAGATGAAGCCCTAACTGGAAAAAACCCGATCCAGAAAACTCAGCAAATAGCCGTACATCAGCCTCTTAGATTTCACCCCTAATCTCCTAATTATTCTCCCTCCTTGGAGAGCAGGAACCATCAATTCATGTGTTTGTGTTCGACCTCAAATCGTGGTTCTCCTTTAAGGAACAGTTACCACAAAAAGGATGGTTACCACAAAAAGGTGGAGTCACAATGGGCAGGCCTGGCACAGGCAGGGCAGGGCAGTTCTACAGCTTGTTTATACACCCAGGGAATGACCTCCAAGGGAGCAACACCCGTCACATTAGTAATCGTGGGGATCCGTCAGGCGCTTCGAGATGGTAACGCCATCTAGTGGAATCAACAGACCATCTCTAGCAACCCACAGCCGGTCTTTGGCCACAAATAAACCTGCTGGTGTTGTGGGAAGAATACTTTGGTATTATTGATACAGAATACTAATTCTGGAAAAGGAAGGTCTCAGCTGATTTGCTCACATATGAAATTCATGCACCTTATTAATGACACTCAAATTAACTGATGCGGTATCCCTAGCCAGGTTGAAATTTGTAATTACATTCTACAAATTTAGAGCTTACTGCAACTTCTCTGTAAGGACTTTTCAGTTCCGTGATTCAACATCAGCTATGATCGTGGCATGTTTGTTTCTAATCAGACATGGCTGTGTTGATGTAATCTCGGTAAAGGCTGTATGAGAGGTGACTTTAGGAAAGTGATTAACTCGGGGCACCTGCCTGGCTCAATCAGAAGAACACACAACTCTTGATCTTGTGAGTTTGAGCCTCACACTGGGTATAGAGATTACAAAAATAAATAAATAAACTTTTTAAAAAAGTGATTAACTCATTCAAATCTTTGTTGAATATCTACAGTTCTAGGCTCTGGGCTCAGAAACAAGACAAACAAGATCCCTGCCCTCACAGCATTTACCGATTAGTGAGGGTGGCAGCACACAAGGAACAGATGCAAATGTTAACAAGATGAGGTCAGAATGAATATAATTTAAAAGGGCAAAGGGAGAGGGAAAGGAAGGGTCATGGTGCTTTTGAGATCCAAAGAAGAGCTCATCTTCTTATGATGAAAATTGTTTTTTACAGATTTTGTTTACTTATTTGAGAGTGAGCAAGAGAGAGAGCATGAGTGGTGGGGGGGGGGCCAGAGGGAGAAGCAGACTCCCCCTAAGGAGGGACCCTGGGATCATGACCTGGGCCAAAGGCAGACACTTAACCAACTGAGCCACCGAGGTGCCCCCTCATAATGAAATGTTTTTAAAGACAACCATTCCTGAGGCACCTGGATGGCTCAGTTAGTTAAGCATTCAACTCTTGAGCTCAGGGTTGTGAGTTCAAGCTCTGCACTCCACACTGGGCAAGGAGCCTACTTAAAAAAAAAAAAAAAATAGGGGCACCTGGGTGGCTCACTTGGTTAAGCATCTGCCTTCAACTCAGGTCATGATCTCCGGGTCCTAGGATTCAGCTCCCCATCATGTTCCCTGCTCATCGGGGAGTCTGCTTCTCCCTCTCCCTCTGCCCCTCCCTACCCACCCCCATGCTCTCTCTCTGTCTCTCTCAAATGGATAAATAAAATTTTTAAATAAATAAAAATAAAGACAACTGTTTCAGAATAAATATGCATATGAGTTTTCAAAGCTTTTTTGGGACTCCTCTCTGGTTTTTGCCTGCAGAGCCAATGTATGAACTCCGTCAAGAAAAGCAGCCTTGGGGCGCCTGGCTGGCTCAGTCGGTGGAGCATGCAACTCTTCATATCGGGGTTATGAGTTTGAGCTCCATGTTGGGTGTAAAGATTACTTAAAAATAAGATCTTTAAACAAAAAACAAAAAACACAGAAAGAAAAGCAGGTAACTCAAAGCAGCATACTGCATGCAGCTTTACCATCACCTCTTTCTTTGACCCTGAACATCTTTGGGATATTTCTGAAAATTAATCCAGTCCCAAACCCTATATATGGTAACCTAAGGTTCTGGTGGGAAAGTATGCAGCAAGCTCTGGAGAGAGTTAAAAATTCTGTGAGGTCCTTTCTTCCTCTTGGTGGACAGTATCTCTAATGAATGCACACCTCTGGAAATTGTGCTGTTCTTTTCTTTTGCTATGGAGGTCCTCATCATCTTCTAGGGAAGGACCTATAAAACAATAGTAAAAAAAAAAGTATAAATATATATTCAGCAAACAATGGCAGGAGGAGACAGAGAAAAGGATAGTACTAAGATGAAGGGAAGAATAAAAGATTAAAAGAACAAAACCGCCTGGGGTTGAGGAACTGCCAGGCATGGGGGGGTGAAAAAAATTTTTTTAAATAAAAATAATAAAAGAACAAGACCTCATAAATCACTCCCAAGATCGTCCCTTGTAGTTCAGCTTTCTAAACCTTGTCCTCATCAGATCCCGAGGGTATCTTCCCAATGGTTCAGGCAACCCACTTTCCATAAACCAGGCTTCCCCTATCTTTCCTGGTGAGATTAAGGAGTCTGCTCATGGTAAAACAGTGATGCAACTCAAATTATTACACAGACACATACCCCCACCTCCACCCCCCGTATTCTCCATTTAATGTGTACAATGGTTTCTTTAAATTCCCTGATAGCAAACTTGTCACTAAAACATATTAATTGAAAACAATATAACTCTGGCTTGATGAATCCTCAAAGTGAGCAGGGTTAGAAGAGATCTATGTATCCTACTTATTACCCCTACTGCTATAGATCTTTGAGAGAGGGGGGGAGGGGCAGAGGGAGCATGATAATGCTACCTTTGTATTTTAAAGTCGCAACTGAACGACAGGAACTTAGCCTCCCCACAAACTTAGCCTCCCCGGAGCAAATCCAGGGAGAAAAAGACTGATGTTTTGTATTGATCATAAAGCATTCAACCGAGTCCATAAGGAAAAGATCCTAATTACCAATACAGAAGGATTCTAAACAATTAACATTTGTGTTAAAATCCTTAAAATGAAGAAGTATAAAAACCTCTTTATACTTGGGGCAACTGAGTGGCTCAGTCGTTAAGCATCTGCCTTCGGCTCAGGTCATGATCCCGGGGTCCTGGGATCGAACCCCACGTGGGGCTCTCTGCTCAGCGGGAAGCCTGCTTCTCCCTCTCCCACTCCCCCTGCTTGTGTTCCCTCTCTCGCTGTGTCTGTCAAATAAATAAATAAAATCTTAAACAAAAAAAAAAAAAACCTTTTCATACATATAAAAAGAAATTAAGGGGCGCCTGGGTGGCTCGGTCAGTTAAGCATCTGCCTCTGGCTCACAATCTCAGGGTCCTGGGGTTGAGCCCTGCGTTGGGCTCCCTGCTCAGTGAGGAGTCTGCCTCTCCCTCTGCCTCTCTCCCTCTCCCTCTCTCAAATAAATAAATAAAATCTTAAAAAAAAATTCTCTCACCTCAAGAAGGTACACTGGTTAGTTAGCATACTTACCTTTTACAATGTAAGAACGCTTTTATAGATTTCCCTATTACTTTTATAAGTAACATTTTTTTAATTTCTTTTTTTTAAAAGATTTTATTTATTTATTTGACGTAGAGAGAGAGAACAAGTAGGCAGAGAGGCAGGCAGAGGGAGAGGGAGAAGCAGGCTCCCCGCTCAAGGACTCAATCCCCGGACCCTGGGATCATGACCTGAGCTGAAGGCAGACACTTAACCGACTGAGCCACCCAGGCGCCCCTATAAATAACATTTTTTGTGAGAAAAAAACTGAAGATATTTCCACTTTTTTTTAAAGATACATATAGAGGATCCAAAGAAAGTCTCCAAATGAGACCACCAAATTCCTAAATCTGTAACTTTCAAAATTTGAGGTCATTTGCTTTAAACTTTCTATTAAAGTAGAAAAAAAAAACCCCACAATTTCTATATGAGACCGAGTCATAGCAAGGGCGCCTGGGTGGTTCGTTCGGTTGTGTCTGCCTTCGGCTCAGGTCGTGATCCCGGGGTCCCGGGATCGAGCCCCGCGTCTGGCTCCCTGCTCGGGGGGAAGCCTGCTTCTCCCCTTCCCACTCCCCCTGCTTGTGTTCCCTCTCTCGCTGTGTCTGTCAAATAAATGAATAAAATCTTTAAAAAAAAAAAAGTCATAGCAGTAAATCTGGCTTGATGTGAACATGGCTATTTTCATAAACCTTCCTGGAGAGAGCCAAAAATGCTTAAATTAACCCCAAGATGGTAATAAAAAAGTATAACCTGGGGCTGTCAATTCAATTTGTACTAAATACTGATTACTTGCAATTATGTTTCTTTCCTTCTGGGTCAGAAATAGATCTTTAATAAATTTTTCTTCATTAGCTAGGAAGATCCAAGTACCTAAATGAAGAGTGCTATTATGCCTTAATCCATTAATAGGCTCGCTATAATCCAAATGTCTTTTTTCAGGGTACAAAGTTTGATTTTTCTGATGCTACCATCACATTTAGGCAACATTGTAAATGGGAGTACGCCATGATTTACATACCATAGTTATCATGAATAATAATGTACCAACTAGGGGCACCCGGGTGGCTCAGTTGTTGGGCGGCTGCCTTCGGCTCAGGTCATGATCCCGGGGTCCTGGGATCGAGCCCCGCATCGGGCTTCCTGCTCGGTGGGGGGCCTGCTTCTCCCTCTCCCACTCCCCCTGCTTGTGTTCCTGCTCTCGCTGTGTCTCGCTCTGTCAAATAAATAAAATCTTAAAAAAAAAAAAAAAAGAGGGGGGTGGGTGCCACCAAGTCTCCATCTGGCCCGGTACCACTAGAAGTGAATAAACTCCAGAGGGTCAGCCTGGGAAAAAAAAAAAAATAATAATAATGTACCAACTAGAGAAAAGTTAATTTCCCTGCTACTTAAGAGAAACACTTAGGGGTGCCTGGGTGGCTCAGTCGGTTAAGCATGGTCCCAGGGTCCTGGGATGGAGCCCCATGTTAGTCTCCGTGCGCAGCAGGGAGTCTGCTTCTCCCTCTCCCTCTCCACCCGGCTCATGCTCTCTCCCTCACTCTCTGCCGCAAATAAAAATTTAAAAAAGAAAAAAAAAAAAAGGTAAACGCTATGCTAAGCCCAGCATGTGAATTTATTGTACTGCTCCTGTGAATACCCCATTGTTTTCTCAGTAGCAGAAGTGGATGACTGGAGCCAATTTTGGAATCAAAACCCCAGTCTCTAAGAAGGGCATTTCATACTCTTAAGAGCCAAATTCGCCTTTCTATTGAAATGTGGTTTGCAATCCTCCGTCCCCTTAAAGTTCCTCCCCTTCAACAAGCCGACGTGCAATTTACATGTCCCCATGACCTTTTTAAACCACAGCAATTTGTTCGGCACCTCTAAGTTTATAGTGCTTCTCCAAAAATACCCGATTTAATCCTGAAAATTCAGCTAAGTCCAAAGCTAATGTAAAATACTAGGAAACACACAATATAAACTTGAACCAAAATACCATGTAACATTTAATAATTGCAAATATATTTATTACAATTTACAGATTAGTTAAAGTTATATACACAAATATAATTTTAGCTATAAAATCCCAACAAACTGGTTACATTGAAGTCACTGGATCTGTAGAAGCCAATTAAGTCTTCTAGTCCCCTAAATTCACCTCCCTTAAATTATACAAAAATAAAATCTGATAGTTTTGATTTCAAGTGAAAGATGAAGAGGTGCTGTTATCACATTGCAACACTCAGAAAAGGAAATTTTACCTGTCTGTATGCCTTCACATGCTACATTGATACTTAAAGCACCATTATAAGACTTTAAATGTGTACAATGTTCAATTACAACTTCCAAGTTTAACTTTGCTCTAACAACTAGGATTGGGATGAAATGACAAGAACTGTTTCTCCTTCAGTCCAACTTAAAAACAGCCCCTTCTGTCCTTTTTGTCACTGTCTCGATCACTTCTTTTAAAGGAGGGTAGTAAATGGGAGAATTCTTCACCAAGCTTTTAGTGTACTCATTTGGTAGCGAGGTTGGAATCCCAAGGGAACAAGTTTCCAAAATCCAATCAATGTCAAGCTATCCCATTATTTTCAACTATGCAGAGGTGCTAGATTTCAGACTAAGCCGTGAAATAAAACAGTATACTTCAGTCTGGTTTTAAAAAAATGCCTATACATTTTCAGAAAGTTTTTTTTCAAGGCAGATGATCCCTTCTTCCCAACTGACACAGCTGGTGCTTAAAACCAGCCTGTTTTCACAGTGTTACAGCAGGACTCTGCAAATGCATCCCCTATGATTACCTAAAGTGGAGGTGCACAACACACATTGAATAAGGGCTCTGCAAATATCGGACCAGCTTTCAAGTTGTACTCTTGGCGTGTTTATGTACGAATATATATATATTATCACTGGAGGCAGTTCTTAGAGCAAACCAGATAGAAATAAAATAATGACCAGGTAGACTGTAAACTGAGGTAGTAACTCTGCAAGCACTTCTGACAAAAAATTTGTCCCCACACTGAAACAAGTTCAAACTTAAGAGGCCACCTGCTCTACTCATGTTTTCCATTACCTGCAACAAGAGGCACATGGGGCAAAAACAGACCAGTAAGAAGCTGACAAACATTACCTCAGCCTAACAGAGGCACACCATGTCCAGCTAAACAAAGGACAACCAGTCACTGCAAAAACTTCAATTCAAAAGTAAACTCTGGGCTAAAAATAGTTAAGACTCTGTATTGTTAAGTCTATAGTACCATCCTTTCCTGAAAGTTACAGGCCTTGTCATTACTTCTCTAACAGTAGAACACAATAAACTTGGAGATTGATTAAGTCTCTATTTTACATTGCTAACTGGAAAATTCAGAAGTGCCCATTTCCAAGTTTATAGTGTCACCCTGACAGGTTTTAAAAGTGACAGTGCTGAAGCATGAGATTAGTAACACTGGTTTTCTGTTGACAGCATATAAAACAAAAACAAATTGCTCTGAGAAGTCTCCTAGTTCCTTCCTAGGAAAATTCTTGGCTTTTCAATTTAAAAAGTGAATGTCTATGCTGCAACTATTACTTTCTGGAGTCTTTTACAACAACTTCTACCTGTTGAAACACACAAAGAACCATTTAACTGGAATGACAATCACACACACAGAACCCTCTCCAAGAAACAGTTTGCACAGAAGTTAAACATTTGAGATGTTAAAATTTGGCAGAAAGATGCAG